CTGGTGCCCTACGACTATTGAAAGTTTTGACAGAGCCCAGCACGCGTTGGTGCCCCTTTTGGGATGCTGGTTCTACCACTAAACAATAGTATTTATAAATATGAACCAAATATACGATGCATGTGATGGTATGCATTCAAAACGCTATATAATGAAAAGAACGATTTTCGAGTCTTATTTTTAAGAGTCTGAAGTTTGACATATGAATTGATCAAGATCCAATTCATCATGACAAATCATTGAAAGAGTTGGTTCTACTAAATGGCTAGATGGTATGGGAAAAAAAAAAGAGTTAAAATCTATGGATCAAAATAAAGTTTGAGATCTCGCTTAATTAGTTTGAAATGTGTAAAAGAGTTGAGCGTATTAAATGATATAAAGATAAATTTTCCTATATATAAATCATGGTCATAGGAGCTTATTATATCAAATGAACATGAAGAATTACGTTTTTAAATGAAAAATTAGAGGAAAAAGTTTATATGGACCAACACGAGAATTTTTGAATTTAGTGAAATTGACCATGTTTTATGTAAACTTAAAAAATCAAAATATGGACTCAACCAAGTTAAAATACTGTTAATGTGTGTTGATGTAAGATTGTATTTTTGATTCACGGCCTCTTAATTGTTATTAATGATCTTGATCTATTAGACGAAATTAAATAAATTCTCTTCGATAATTTTGAAATTGAAAATACGAGAGAGGCAACTTATGTGACATGAATTGAAACATTTCAGTATAGCTCCCGATAATTATTAGAGATGTCTCAGGAGTCAGTATGCATACATTTGAAACAAACTACTTGTTAAGGTTAACGCCCATAATTTGTTGGCAGAAAAGGTGTTATTTTGTGATTTTCAAAATAAATCCTATTTTTTAAAACGCGTTTAAAACATAGGTTTGTTTTTGGAAGTGTCCGATTTTATCTCAATTGAATGAACTGTACGCAAATAACCGGATGGAAGAGAGCCCTGAGCACGCACTCGCACGCAAATACATACATTATACAGACAAAACGAGGCCACACTCAAATTGCCTCCATCCTTCGCTGACTCTGTCTCGCAACCGCCATCACCACCGTGTCACCGCCCCGAGCTCCTCTGTTAGCTCGGACTGTCAATGCCTGCCCAGAAGCGTCCGCTCGATACTACTCCTCCTCCTCTTTCTCCTCCTTCGGCGCCCGAGGAAGAGGATGCCGATCATTCACTCCAAAGCAACCCGAATCACAACAACGGAGAAGCCGAAAACGAAGAAGGTATTTTGTCACGTGCGTATACATGTACAAGCCTATGTACATGCGTTATTCTGCTTACAAAATTGTGACGATAAATTCGAATTTCCTCTTTTTTGTTTGTCGTTTATTTACTGATTTGTTTCTTTTCCGACTCCCAGTTTCCAATGGCAGTCCTTCCTCCAGTGACGAAGAGAAAGACGAGTACTTCTTTCTCTCTCTTCATATACACACATGTAGACTCATATACACGTATCTTCACTCTGGCATACATGTCAATTATTGTGTATACCGTTAATTTTTTTGACCGTTTTGTGATTATTAAGAATTTCAGAAATGTATAATGTGTAGATCAATGAAATTTGCTTGAGATCTGCCCGCTTTATGTTGCCATACGATTTGTTTGTTTGAGGTTACACGTTTCATCAAAAATGGCTCTGTGCTTCTTTTCAAGTACTTCAACTTATTTAGATCTTCTAGTTATTGAAAATTCTTTGCTATCTCCCTTTGCTCATTAAGGGTTCGAGTTTGACTAAGTTTTATTCTGGATTCTTGTGATCACTATTTTCTCCATAAATTTATTTTTTAGTTGCTTTACGGTAAATTACTAAATTCTGTTGTTTTTTTCTCTTGTTGGGAGTTATTTGTTTTGTTTTATTGTAATAAATGATTGCATGCTGAGTTTGTTTGACAAGTCACAGTATCAGGCTCGTTGAAATTGGCTTGCTGCCAGAATTTGTAGATGCTTATCACCAAGAGAGACTTGTTCTATAGATGAATTTGTGAAAGCAGCTTTGACACTAAGGGTCATCTATTAGGGAGCCAAAAATTGTAAAAACGTAGTAATGGTATTTCATCTCCATTGGCTTAGTGATTGTTGACTTCCTCAATTCAGTGGAGTGATTCTAGAATCTTGCACTTGTTACTTGTTGTACATTTTATATTTTTTATCATCAGATACTATTTTTTTTTTTTTTTTTCAATGCAATGAGGAATTACGAAGACATAGGATCCCAAATTTTCTAAAGAAGCCAAAGTTTTTAAAAGAAAACACATAACATGGGTAAAGGACTTTTTGATAAAGGTGAACTGAGGTATTTTTGGCCATCATTAGGTAGTGAAATTAGAGGGATGGCAATAAGAATAGAAAATTAGGAGGTTAAGAGCATGCACGATGAGTCCAAGGGTGCTGCATGTTGGGAGGAGCTTAAGCCCCCGTTTGGCCCCCATTTTTTGGAAATGAAAATGGGTGGAATAATTTTTTTTTGAAAAATGAGTAGTTGAAAAAGAAGGAAAAGTTTTCGATTTATGTTAATATTATTTTATGAAAGATTGTGTGGTTGAAAATAGGAGAGAGAAAAATGGAATGTAATGGAATAAAAATTAATGTGGCCAAACAGGGGCTAAATAGAAATATGCAACTTGATACTGAAGTGTTTAGGAAGCAAAAGCTTAGAAGATCATTAAGCCCAGCGGCATGTCTTTCTCTTGTTTCATTTTACTAAGGTTGCCAATCTTAGTCCAATAGAAATTTTGCATGGGAGTCTCATTGGGTTGGCCGATTTGGGTTTGCCATGCTTATATTTTCTTGGCTTGAATCTTGCAAGAGATTGTATTCAAGAGTAAGTCCTTTTATAATGGGAATGTTGACCTGGTGATAAACATCCACCATGCTGAGAACATTATCACCATCAGACTTGGAGTATAGATTTTCAAATTTTTTACCAATTGTGGGCACTAGTTTTAATAGATTATAGTTGTCCGGTGATACCAAGCCAACATGCTGTTCTTTTATTAACCATTTGTGCAGTGTGTCAATTTGTTAATGACCATTAACACCATTTACCTTTTAAAGGGGTGGCATGATTCAATTTAATACATTTTCTGTTGGAGCCTGACTGAGAGCACAACTGGATTGAAACCCAAAAAAAAAAAAAAAATTTCGTAAGAACTGGTCGCTACTCTATAAGAATGAAGAAAATATGTCCAGACCAAACTGGTTCTGTTTGGTTTGCTTTTCTCCTGTTTGGCATACATCAGTTCTTTGAGCTTCACTAATGGGTAGATTTGATGTGGTTGGTGTATACTTATTAGATGCATCCACCAATCAAAGATTAACATTTTGCTAGAAAGCTAAAGAATTAAGAAAAGAAGGAAAATTAGATAACCTGTTCAGTTCTTTGAGAGTACTCCACCCACCCACCCAGCATCGCCACCACTGCAAACCACCATCACTGCAATCCCCTCTCCCAACCAAGAATCAAACTAACGCAATAAAATTATTTGTCGCTTTGCCATCGCTAGAAATAATAAAACCCATGCACTATCACCATTATTCCTCAACAACTTGGACCTCTTATTTTTCATCATCGTCTTTTTTTTAATCACGATTTTATTGATCTATTTATGCAAACTGGAGTCCTAATTCTTGATGGAAATACATTTTGTATTTGTTGGAGGTACAGAGTATTACTATTTTATAAAGGGAATGAACATTCCCATTAATGGGGGCCAGAATTGCCACCTCATCCCCTGTTCCCATTAAATCTCATATATCTTTCAATATATGAGGATTGAAAACGTGATGGAAAGAGTCAAGGATTTAGATTGAAAACGTTTCTCATCTTTCCTAATCAGTTGTCACTCTATGAGGATTTGAAATGTGATGGTGTCACTCTACGAGGATTGACAACATGATGGAAAGAGTCAAGAATTTGGATACTGAAGATGATAATTCCAAGGATGCAAGTCTGGATGCTAGAATTCCACTACCATAGGTGTTGCTGTAGCCAGTGTGCAATGGTTTTGGTGGTAAGACAGTGGTTCCGAGAAGAAGATTTAACTGGTAGATCATCCCAATTCTTAATCAACAATGTCTCGTGTTGGGTTTGTGATCCAAATTATGGTGAATTTTTTTGGAAATAAATTATTTCCTTATTTTCATGTGGGAAAATTTGTTTCATTATAACGTGATTTTGTATGAAAACATATTATTTTCTTATTCCACATTATTTTCATCTTTATGATATGTTATGTACCTATAAATATTGGTCTTCTCATTTAGCATTGTTCAAGCAAGAATTACTGACTTCTTGAATTTCTCTTCATATTGTAAATTAATAAAACGTCGTGCTTTTGCGATTAACCCTCTTTATTAATTTCTTTACTTTTAAATCTTATTTCTCGTTGTGATCTTCATTACTTCATATCACGTTATTAATTTCTTTCACTACAATCCTTCCGGATCCAACAAGTGGTATTAGAGTTTGGTTCTTCTTCTGAGGATTTGTTGAGGTTTTTTAAGAGATGACTACCATGAAGTATGACATTCCGCTGCTAAATCGCAATACAAGGTTTTTTTGTGGCAAGTAAAGATGAGAGCTATTTTGGCGTGATTGGATTTAGATGATGTGTTGCTAGATTTTGAGAAGATCCCACCTAATTGGACAACGAAGGAAAAACAACGGAGGGATCAGAAGGATTTGTCGTTGATTCATCTTAATCTATCCAACAATATTCTGCAGGATGCTTTGAAGGAGAAAACAACAACTGCTTTGTAGTTGAAACTGGAGTAGTTATGTATGACCAAGAGCCTTACAAGTAAACTGGCTATAAAACAAAAGCTATATTCCCATCGCATGGTAGAAGGAGGGTCATTCGAAGACCATATTGCCGTGTTCAAGGAAATTATTGCAGATTTGGAGATGTTGGAGGTTAAGTACGATGAAGAGGATCTTACCTTGATCCTGTTATATTCACTACTTGGCTCTTATGCATCGTTTCGGGACATCATTTTGTATAATTGAAATACTTTAACTATAGACGATATCTATGATACTTTGCACTCAAAGAAGAAGTTGAAGCATTTGGTTGTAGCTACATCGAGATATGAGGAAGCTCTTATATCTCATGATGGTCGGCGGAGGGGCAGATTGAAGAATAACAGTAATTTATTTACTTCTACTGCAAACGTAAGGGACATATTTGAAATGATTGTGATAAGTTGCAGGCTAAATTCAATTTAACTGCAAATCGTGGAGCGCAACCTTTGTCTTCAGACGAAACAAATGCAGTTGAGAATTTTTCAGACAACGGAGATGTGATGTTAACCGTGATCTGACATGGAATCTATGTCTAAAAGGGAGTGGATTCTCGATTCGACATGTTCACATCATATGTGTTCTAATCAAATTTCTTTCAAACATATGAGACTGTCAAACAAGGTGGAGTTCTGGTGGGAAACAACCAGTCTTGGCATGTTGATAGAATCGATTGAGTCAGATTAAGGTTGTTGGATGGGATAGTCAGAACAATTTATCAGGCTCGACATGATTCAGACTTGAAAAGAAATCTCATCTCACTTAATACTCTAGATGCAAAATGGCATAAATTCTCTAGTGGAGGTGAAGATTTGAAGGTCCAAATGAGTGTTTGGGTTGTACTTGAAGGACAGAGAAGGTCTCAGTTGTACATCTTACAGGGGAACGTAGAACCAGTTAATAGACATTTGGACAAGTTCAGTACCGTGGTGGATATTTAGTTTGGTACAATACCTCTTGTGACGGGCCTTGGGTCGGTTTGCTCAGGGGATTTTTGGTGATTCCGCTTTACCACCATTTTCTGCGGATACACTATATTCATTTGCTAGAGTTGGACTTATAGAGCGTAGGTATCATGGTGTCAATAATGTCTGGGATGCTTTTAGAGATGTTGAATGCGACAGTTCTAGCAATAGGCCTTCTGATCCAACATGTGTGATATAGTTTCAACTATAGGGTGTGTTTCGATCCTGTTTGGTCAAAAGTAATTTTTCGGTGAAATTTTGGGAACCCAGGGTTTGGGTTCAGGTGTCGCTTGTGGACGCCTTGTAGAGCAAGACGGTTTGGGTTGGAGAGTTTTGATTACTGTGTTTAGGAGATTCGCTATTTCGATACAGATGGATTTGAAATCTTGGAATTTTGTAGGTTGCACTAGAATTTGGGTCAAAGTGGAGATTGTTGGGTTTGTGACCCAAATTAGTGTGGATTTTTTTTTTGGAAATAAATTGTTTCCTTATATTTTACGTGATTTTTTATGAAAACATATTATTTTCTTATTTCACATTATTTCCATCTTTATGCTATGTCATGTACCTATAAATAGTGGTCTTCTCTTTCAGTTTTGTTCAAGCAAGAATTGTTGAGTTCTTATATTTTTCTCCATATTGTCGAATAATAAAACGTTGTGCTTCTACGATTAACTCTCTCTATTAATTTCTTTACTTT